GGGTTTTGAGAACTCGTGTCCGGAAACCCTGTTGGATGGATTTTCATTTTGCCCTCCCGTTGCACCAGCTGTTGAGATGCACTATGCTTGATTGCAGATTGTGTTCTAACGTTTATTTTGTTGTTGGTTTTTGGTTTTTTTTTTTTTTTTTTTTTTGGTATACAGTTGTTGCCTTTATTTGTAAAATCCTGTTATAAATATATATATATTATATAAATATATTAAAAGGTAAAGCGTTTCAGATGTCTATTATTTGTATAACTACTTGAGCATAAAGAAGTGAGAAATATGAATGTATTCTTGTTTCTGGGCTGTCTGGTTTTTTTTGAAGAGAAGAATTTTTCTGTTTTTCTCTAGGGAGAGGTACAGTGTTTATATTTTGGAGCCTTCTTCAAGGTGGGATATTGTACATATTTTTATCTTGAGTAAATGTTAAGTAGTTGTTTAAAAATACTTAATAAAATAATTCTTTTCCTGTGGAAGATAAGGGTTTGCCTCGTGCTTGTAAATATTTGAGCAGGGCCATGCCGTAGGGTCCGATGGGCGCGCAGGGGGAGCGGGGCTGTCCCTGCCACCCGTGCCCGAAGGCACCTCGGGGACCCCTTGCCCCAGGGCTATTTATTTTAGCTCCCTTGGCACCTGCGGGGATTTTTCTCCTCCCCAACCCAAGTCAGGTGCCAGGAGCGCCTGGCCAGCTTTTCCGCTTTCTCCTTATTCCACTTTGCGCTCTTTGGGCCTTGGCTTTTTGGCTCATCCGCCCCAAGCTCAGCAGGGAGGAGGAGGAGGAGGAGGCAGCCCCTCGCCATGGAGGATGCATCTTCTCCGCAGGCTTTGCCCGTTACCTGGAGGCAAAATGGGCTTTTTACAAACGGGGGCTTGGCTTCTCCTGCGTGCCCCCATGGCTTTTGCTGGTTTGGGGCTCGGGCCGGTGCCGCAGGCGCTGGGGAGCAGCCCGGAGCCTCTTTGCTGGCGCTGCTGCAGGACGGGCTCGGGGACATCGCCTGCATCCGACACGGGCTCCTTCCCTGCCACCCCAGCAAGGACGCGGGGTTTCTGGCCTCTGTGCAGAACGGGCGCCCCCAAACCTCTCCCCGAAGGCGAAAGACGGGCGATGGGTGGGAGGGCTCGGTCTCCTGTCAGCACTGCCGCTGTGTGGATGGGGCAGGGGCGCTCCTGGGGGATGTTTTGGGTTTTCACAAGGCAGGTGAGTCACACAACAGGGCGAGAGGTTTAGTGCCCGACCAGGACAGCGCTGCTCGGTCCTGGGCCGCAGCATCTCCGGGATCATCATCCAGCAGGTGCCCGGGGAGCTGCCGTTAGCGTTAGCTTAAAGTAACATTAGCTTAAGTAACGCTAGACTAAAACACAGGGCTGCTTGTATTAATTTATTTGGGGCCTCCATACCTCCTGACGTTTATGTTGTGTTTTGTTTTAATTAGGGCTCAGTATTGATCTGGCTGAAGACAACTGTAAGTAACCCCGTTTTGGGGACAGCGTGGGGTGCTCAGCGCAGCGGCCTCGCTAACGCTGGATTTCTGGCTCGTCTCCACGGCTCTTGCTCCCCTTCGGTCTCCATCTTCTGACCCACCTTGTGTGGTGGGAGGACTCGCGGAAGCTCCAGATCCTCAGTCACGGAGGAAAAAAAATTGTAAAGAAAAAAAAAAAAAGTGGGAGGGAGAGGGTTTATAGAGGAAGCGAAGGCTGATTACGGGCTGGGGATTTTTGCCGCCACCCTGGCCCGGCGCCAGTGGGATAGGTGAGTTCCCTGGGGACGGGCAGGGTCCGGGAGCCCTCGGTCATCCCCGGCCGGCAGTGCGGGGG